GTGGTCCCGCGGCGTGCATGCTGCAGTGGCCTGGGGTGAGCGCCCCATCCTGCGCAGGGGGCCCGCCGCCTTGGTCGCGTGGAGCGCGCACCGCGGCACTGTGAGGTGATCCAACTGACTGCCCTGGCCCTCCTCCTCCCCCTCCCCCTCCTCCTCCTCCTCCTCCTCTTCCTCCCTTCGCCCTCCTCCTCTTTCTCCTCCTCCTCCTCCTGCTGCTCCTCCTCCTCCTTCTCCTCCTCCTCCTCCTCCTCCTCCTCCTCCTCCTCCTCCTCCTCCTCCTCCTCCCCTTTGACACTGTAGTCGGTGGGGCCGTGCCCGTGGTGGGCTGTGAGCACCGTCGCATCGAGCACCTCCGGGAACGGGGCGAGGGCCTCGGCCGAGCAGCGCCGGCGCCCCACGTCGTGCCGAGGGCCCACCGCTTGGCGGTTCACCTGCCGCCACAGCTCCGTGCCTTCAAGCTTGGTCTCGGCATCGCTCGGACGTGTGCATTTTTTTCCTTCGGCGAGGACCATCGAGGAGCATCCTTGATCAGTTGGCGAGAAAACCACGCACGGAACCGAAAAAAAAGCGCAGGAAAGGGGCGTCCGAGCGATGGCCAGTCGTGAGCCCGAACCCAGAGTTGAGGTCGGTGCCGATCACTGGGAAACATCTGTGAGCACTCCAGAAAGGCAGCGACCGGAGCCAACCGATGGGAGAACCACATGTCGGATCGTACGCCTTGGAACGACTAGCCTTTGCTGGCACAGGCGGAACATAAACCGAAACCACTGCAATGTCAGATTGCTTGCTGCGAACACGAAGTGCTACGCCTCGTCCTGCTCGGGCGAAGAGAATTATGCACATGCACCGATCCTGGCAAGGCCCATCTTTGACCCAGGATCGGTGCATATGCCTTCCTGGCCAAGGTAGGAGGGCGTATGCACCGATCCTGGGCTCAGGATGGGCCTGGCCAGAATCGGTGCATGTGCATAGTTCTTTTTCCTCTATCCTGCTGTTGGTGCCACCCAGGTCTGAACCACCGAGCTGCGCTTGATCTGCGGGCCAAGGCCAGTGGCACGCCCACAAGACGTCTTGCTGTGAGGATAAGAACGAGCCCAGGCCAGCGTCAAGGCGCCATCGCGTGCCCGCGCGTCGCCATCTAGCCACACCAGCTGGGCCACATCGTCGCACGCCCGTTCCAGTGAGACAAGTAGCATCGAAATCCCGAGAAAGATCTGCGATGTCCCGAGTGCGATTTGAAGTGCTAGCATATATAAGGATTGAACTGAAGGACGTTCAGAGTGTGCTTCTCGGTGGCCCCCTCCAGCGCCGTAGACATCCTGCGGATGGCCGAGGCTGCACTGGTCACCGTGGGCCCTTAGCTCTATCAGGTGATATTCCAAGGGAGGCACGCTGCCTCGACTGAACGAGCGCCGAAAAGGTAGCAGTATGGGGCTAAATTAGGGTACGGTTGACGGATGTGTTGTCAGCCCTGCAGAGCCGACGCTTGGGAGGAGGAGGGGGCGGAGGAGGAGTGGTAACGCGGGGCGCTGTTTCTTCAAAACGAGGACCCAATACCACAGGATGGTTGGGAATTTGGATTTGAACGGGAGAACGATACCAAAGAAAATCTGCTCCTGGAATCGATAATTAACCATGCTCCGGGATTGGAACCAGAAACGGATCCAGATGACAGATTGCGACGGAGCCCGCAAAACCTCGGCGCCAGGACCAGCAGCAAAGACGGCAAAACGCAACCGGTCAGCCAAAAAACATGCCCTGTCGTGTCAGGGCCGATGGACGCGGCGTACGAAAGACGTGAGCGGCAGCAAGGAGATCATCATCCCGGTCTGACCACCACCGCCTGCATGACAGGCGTCACTTCATCAAACTGGTGGATCGGCTCCACGACTACCGCGGCATCCTCGGGGCTCGACGGGCCCCTGTCGGCTGCGCGCGGCGATCCGATATCGCCTCGCTGCAGGGTGGCCGCATCGAAGCGACCCGATCCCTCTCCGAACCGATCTGGCCCCACGGCCCGCCGCAGCTCCGGCCCTGCCCGTGGCTCTCGGGGCCCGCTTTCGGCCCCCGCCCGCCACTTCGAGCCCGCTCCGCGCGGGCCCAGCCGCAGGGGCCCTCGAGCGGCTCCACGGCGCGGGGTGGGGCCTCGGCCCGCTCCGCGCGCGCGCGGTGCCTTCCCGGGCGGCGCCCTGCTGGCGGCGGGCGCGGCGGGCGGGCCCCCGGTCTGGGCCCGGCTGGCCGTGCGGCGCTGGCTCCGAGGTCAGTGACGGCAGGGCGCGGAGGTAGGCCGCGCTGTGGCAGTTCTCTGGGGCTTCCATCAGAGCGTGAATTACCTACCCCGCTGTCGCTCCCAGGCAAAAACCAAGCCATACCACGCGCCTCCTCGTCAGGCGGCCTGCCCAGTGCAGGCCGTGATTTGGCATCGCTTGGTACCTCTTGGAAGCGAGGGTGGTCAAAAGCGAGGTATGTCTGTTTGCCCCCATATTCCAGGGGGTCCCCCTTTTTGGCCATGTTTCTCCGCGCTGGCGTCGCCGGTGCATCGCCGACATCGCCGATGCATCGCCGATGTATCGTCGATGCGGCGCGATCTCCGACCTCATCTGCTCGGACCCCATTAGGGAGGCCTCTACGCAGGGCGCGAGCTGAACTGTGTTTTGGCGATTTCGCGGGCCTTTTTTGTTTCGGTTGCGTTTTGTAGCAAAGACGGGACGAAGACAACACGATGGAGCACGAACACACAGCGAAGATGGAAACCACTGTTCAGCTCGCGTCCTGAGTGATAGGCTGGCCGCCCTTGCCATGTTCTGGGCTGCGGCCTGACTTGGCGGGGGTCTCACCTCTCCCGCCACCCATCTCCACTGGCATTCTTCCCCATGCTCCCCCTTCTCCCCTTTGCTTCCCCACGGTAAAACGGTGCAGGACTCGCCCCCGATCGGATCGATGGGGATCCCCCATCCCCTCGCCCCAGAACTGCATGGTGGTCACGACATGAGCCCGCCCGCGGCAAGAGAAACCGACGCGGCGACGACAGAGGGCGCGGGGAGAGGGCGCGGGGAAGTGGACAACCCGCGCCGGGCGCGTGCTTAGGCCCTCAGGAGGCCCCCCGCCGCGGCCGCAGCGCCAGCGCCGCACGCGGAGCGGCGGAACCGCTCCGGCGACGCCGGCGAGCCAGTGCAGCCTGTACAGGGCTGCGCGCAGGCTGGCGCGGCGTGCGTGACCGCCCGGCGCCGCGACGCGGCGCAGCGCCGCGTCGCCGAGCTCCGCCAGCTGGTCCGCGAGCTGCCGGGCCTCGCCCAGCTGGCCCCGCGCGGGGCCGCCTCGCGGGCGGACGGCGGCGAGCGCGGCCGTGCGGCGCCCCCGGGCTGGCCGCGGCGCGTGGCCTCGGCGGCGTCCAGCCGGCGTCGGCCGCCCCGCAGGAGCCCGCCGCGCCCGCCGACGCCGGCGCGGCGCCGCGGGCCGCCCCACTGGGCGGGGCGCTCGCCGCCTCTGCCGCGCCAGGTCGCGGCCCCGCCGCGCCGGCGCCGCGGGCCACCCCCTCGAGGGCGCTCGCCGCGGGCGCGCGCTCCAGCTCGCCGCAGGGCGCGCGGGCGTCGGCCGTGCGGGCGGTCCCCGCTGAGCGGGGAGGAGCGCGCGCGCGTCGCTGCTCCGGGCCGCGGCGCGGCGTCGGTGTCGCGGGCCGCCGAGCGCGTCGGCCCAGCAAGGCTCCAGGGAGCGCAGCGAGCTCCCCCAGGCGCCCCTCAGCGTGTCGTGCGACCTCTGAAGGTCGTGCTCGCTGTGGCAGGGCGCGTGCGCGCCCGAGTCCAGGTGCCACAAGTCCGGCGCGGCGCGCGCGCCCAGTCCGGCTTCCCGCCCGCTTACGCCCGCTCAGGCCCCGTCGCGCCAGGAAGGTCCAGGTGCCACCCCCGAGCTGCCCGACCGAGCAGGCCCAGCCGTCCCCCCGCAGGATGTCATGGAGACCCGCTTCTGTGCTTTCGCCCCCCGGCGCCGGTTTCGCCACGGCCGCCCTCGGTTCCTGCCCTGGGGCCTCTGGCGCGACCTACGCGGCGGGCGGTGCGGCTCCTTCCTCCGAGGAGTCGGCGTCGTATAGTAGCAGATCGCTGGGCTGGGAGGGCCGCTCCCCCCGCTGACTGGCTCCGCTCCGCCAGCCGCGGCGGGGCCGGCGCCGGCGCCGGGGGAGCGCTGCGTGCGGCGCCGCGCCGGGGCCGTCCTGGCCCCGCGCCCCCGCGCCTGGGAGGCGTGCGGGCGTACCGGCGGGGGCGCCGGCGGCAACTGAGGCGGGGTTTGCTTGGGAGGCGCCCGCGATGATGCGCCCGGCTGTCGCATCTCGCGCTGCCCGCCAACCGCGGGCTCCTGCAGCGCTCGCCTTCCGGCCGCCCCGCGGGCCGGCGTTCCCTCGCCTTCCGGCCCAGGGCGCCAGGGCCCGCCGCCAGGCGCGGGGGCGAGCGCGGGCCCGCCGAGCGGCGCGCCGGCGTCGCCTCTCCGCGGCGTCCGCGGGGCCTCCTCGTGCGCAGTTGGCTGCGCCTCCGGGGGCTGCGCCCCGCTGCTGCTCGCGGCGCTGCCCTGCGTGTCTCCGCAGCCAGGCAGGCTTTGCTTTCTTCTTGCGGCCCTGCGCACGCACTGCGTTGGGCGGCCACCAGATACCTGGCGCGGGGAGGGGCGGCCCGCCCGGGAGTTGACTGGGCACAGGCACCACGCCCAGGCCCACCCTGCGCCCTGGCGCCGGGAGGGGCGGCCGCTCTGCCGCTCCGCAGAAGCCATCCATGCACCGGAGCACGCACCGCCGCACCGCCTGGTGGACACGGGCGGGCTCGTCAAGAGAGCGCTCACGCTTCTCTTCGCTCCCGAACTCCCTCCCTTTCTCTGCCCGCCTCTTGCACCTCTCCCCCTGGCCCCTGGGCTGCCCCCCCCCCTCCCTGTCCCCGTCGCCCCTGGACTCGCCCCTGGGCGTCCCCAGTACCCCCGCTCCTGCACTTCTCCCCGCCCCTTCCGACCCCGGCCAG